GGCCCAGAGTTCAAGCCCCACGACCGACAAAAAAAAAAAAAAAAGATTATCCTAGACATATACTAGTTATTGCAAATAAGGGAAACCATGGGATCTATGTTTCTTTGGATCTGGCTTATTTCACTTAATATAGTTTTTTTTTTCCTCCAACTCTTTCCATTCTTTGTTGCTGTTGTCTTTAATGTACTATGTGATTTTTGGGGGTTCTTTTGCATGTTCTTCCCCCCATGGTATAACCCCTGTTGTCACTGTATTTGACTCCGGTGTCCTGCATCTTGTATATATGTTCTTCTAATTTGGGCCGGGGAAGGGGAATAACAAAATGCTGAAACAAGGATACAGGATGACCCATTGTAACAATGAGATGTAGAAGACACTATATTGAAAATGAACTTTACAATTTGCGGGGGTGGGGGAGGGAGGAGGAGGAGGAGAAGTGGGGAGGGAAGAGATAGTAGGGGAAAAACAAAGGAGGAGGTAACAATACTCTACAGGAAATGTACTCATTACCTGACTCATGTAACTGTAACCCCTCTGTAAGTATCTTTACAATAAAAATATTTAATAAATCATTAAAATATTAATGGAAAATTACAGGAATAAAAACCTTTATAAGTTTCCAGTTGTGAGTGGGTATGAAAAAATCTTGCATAATTCTGATCTGTCCCACCCAGGATATGAATTGTACCCCTGATATTGACTGTACATCCAGTGGCACCTGAGAGATCACATACACATAATTTTAATTCCAATGTATTGTTATGGTTATTCTGTTTCATGAGTAGTTATTGCTGATAATCTCTTACTGTGCTGATGTTCCTAAACCATAAATTAAGCTCTATCATAGGCACATTTGAATAGTGCATATAGAGTTTGGTACTACCAATTTCACGTACCCACTTGTGGTCCTGGAACATTACCTCTGTGGACAAGGTGTGGGGGAACTACTCTATCATTACTAATTAGGTGTGGTTAGCAAGTTTTCAAAGATGGCTCTTGTGTGTTAGGCTCTTTAGAAAACCCCCTTCCATCACTGGTATGTTATCATCTGGACTACCTTGATGAGAGTAAATATACTTCTATTTATGAGAAAAGGCCTCTTTTCTCTTAAAGCAGTTGGCTTTCTTTCTATTAACCTTGTAAGAATTGTTTTTCTGAAAAATTCCTGCCTTGGCCACCTGGCTTGGTCCTTGTTAATTATACTTTAGTTATACACATCCTTTTCCTGCTGCACTTAAATTATCTTGTTAAAAGCTTCTTGAGTTTTAGTTACGTCCTGTAATTAAGTCACATCATTTTTGCAGATTGTGAATCTCAGATCAGCCAATCAGATCAAGTGGGGCAGGACTTGCTAGGTTAGAGAGAAAAAGGGAGCAGCCTTCCTGCTCTGTGCTCTGTGTGATTTTTTGCTGATGGTGGGCCCTTATGCAGAAGTAAACTGCCTTGCCATGTTCTTTGCCAAGTTGGTGTCCTTATCCCTTTGTGCAACCCCAACATCCCAAGATATTGCTAACCTATTCTAGCCCACAGCTTATACCTCTTTCGTCAGCAGATAGGAATTTGACAGCTCTCTCAACACTCTATTCTGTCTTTATGTGATGCTGATAGTATGTATTTATAACCATATGTTAGATTTATCTGGTCCAAGATAGGAGTCCTTCTTATTTTCCAGTCCTTTTTATTATCTCAGACTCTTGGACCTATATCAAGTCTTTTTTTGTTGTTGTTGGTTGTGGGGCTTGAACTCTAGGCCTGGGCACTATCCCTCAGCTCTTCAGCTCAAGGTGAGTGCTCTACCACTTGAGTCACAGTGCCACTTCTGGTTTTCTGGTGGTTAATTGGAGATAAGAGTCTCACAGACTTTCCTTCCCGGGCTGTCTTTGAACCGTGATCCTCATTAAACACAATTCCTGAATGCTGTGTTCTCTGAGCTGGGAGATAAGAAGAGGGATAAGACATTCTTGTCTTCCAACTCAGGGTGAAGATGAAAAAAAAATACACAGCATTCTACAAGGCAGAAATCTACTTAGGAAATAAGTGGTTGGAATTTAGAAGCACAATATACCTCCACACTGTATGCTTGTAAAAGTGGAGCTGCATTTAAGAAGGAGGGATTAAAATGACATTGCACGCATGGCTGTTTGCACATTTATTACAAAAATTCCCAGGAGCAGGCAAAAAAATGGTTCCAATAAAGTAAATAGAGTGATGATTTTTCTAACATTTAGAAGTTGAATGTGTTAAGGAAAATAAATTTTGTGGGCTGGGATTAACTGTTAATTTTGAATAAGGAGAATCAGAGAACGCTCTGTGGAGGAAGAAGAATTTGAGTGAAGACTTGGAAAAACCATAGGATTTTCATCTTGGAGGAAAAACATTCCAGGAAATGAGCAAAGGTAGAATGTTACAGAAGCTTCAAGGAGAGGTAGCTAATCTATCTTGATGGGAAGACAGAGTATAGGAGAACCAATGGAGATGGGTAAGAGAATATGGTGGGAATAGAAAGTTAAATAAGTTGGATTCTTCATTATGTAAAAAGAGAGAGGCTTAATAAAGAGTCTGAGGGTGGAGGAAGTATGACCCAACCTGAGATGGAAAGGAATCCTCAGAGAAAGACAAAAAAAGGTGCACTGGCACAGGGGAGACCTGAGACTCGCGATCACTGCCATAATACAACTGTGAGATTGTGGATGTTTGGACTGGACTAGGAAAGAAAAGAAATAAAAAGATAAAGAAAAAGACAAGGAGAGGATTTTATTATTATTATTTTATTTTTTTGTCGGTCGTGGGGCTTGAACTCTGGGCTTGGGCACCGTCCCTGTGCTCTTCAGCTCAAGGCAAGCGCTCTACCACTTGAGCCACAGTGCCACTTCCAGTTTTCTGGTGGTTTATTGGAGATAAGAGTCTCACAAACCTTCCTGCCCAGGCTGGCTTTGAACCATGATCCTGAGTAGCTAGGATTACAGGTGTGAGTCACCAGCGCCTGGCTGGAAAGGAAATTTTTTAAAAGAAAGACAAGGGGAAGGGAGAGGAGAGGGAGGTAAGGAAGGAAGGAGGAAAGGAGATAGAAAAAAGGGCTGAGAGTGTGGTTCAAGTGGTAGTCACCTGCCAAATAACCCAAGGCTGAGTTCAAAAATCCCAATACCTATTCCACAAGTAAAGACACTAACAATGAAGAAAACATTCCGGCCTTCGGACCAAATACAAAACCCAGAAACTGAAGGAAAAGTCAGGTGTGTCAAAGTTGACAAAGTCATGAATTTTCCTGGCATAAATTT